ATTGAGGAAAGTCTCAGAAAGGGATCATAGACACTCGGAACACTGAAGGATGGAGCTCTGCGAACCGCCATTTGGAATCCTCTTGATCGCAACACGGTGTCAGGCCAACCCCGCCGGGAGAACTTCAACAGTCACAGTGGAAGGGGGTCCGGGGGCCCCAAATATGGGTTGCATATTGAGATGAGCCAACTCTACCCAGCGAGTCATGTCATCATCGGTCCTGAGAACTCTACAGAGCGGTGACCTGTCCCTACCCCAACCAGAGACCCGGTCCCACCCCCGGAGCTCACTGGTCACATGGAGGGGCTGCAGAGCACACGCGGCAATGTATCTGTGCGGTAAGCTCAGGTCACCTCCCACCGATCTGCAAGTGACTGAAAAGAGCAATCTCTAAATGTGGCGATCACTCTCACAGGGTATTCCCCCCGCTTAGCAATCTCTCTAACAGGACGGGTTCTGTACATAGCAATCTCTCTAACAGGACGGGTTCTGTACATAGCAATCTCTCTAACAGGACGGGTTCTGTACATAGCAATCTCTCTAACAGGACGGGTTCTGTACATAGCAATCTCACTAACACAACTCTTCACATGAAATCTCTGCACATAGCGTCCCCTCTATCAGAGCAGTCTCTCCACATAGCGTCCCCTCTATCAGAGCAGTCTCTGCACATAGCACCCCCTCTATCAGAGCAGTCTCTCCACATAGCGTCCCCTCTATCAGAGCAGTCTCTCCACATAGTGTCCCCTCTATCAGAGCAGTCTCTCCACATAGTGTCCCCTCTATCAGAGCAGTCTCTCCACATAGTGTCCCCTCTATCAGAGCAGTCTGTCCACATAGCACCCCCTCTATCACAGCAGTCTCTCCACATAGTGTCCCCTCTATCAGAGCAGTCTCTGCACATAGCACCCCCTCTATCAGAGCAGTCTCTCCACATGCCAATCGCTGTAAAATGACAGTCTCTCCACATAGCACTCACTCTAAAGGGATCATCTCTTCGCATAGTAGTCTCTCTGGCAGGATAGTCTATCTACATAGCAATCTCTCTAACAGCAATATCCTCACATAGCAATCCCCTTAACATGGCAGTCTCTCCACATGGCCGGCTGCCCATTTGGATACTGTATGCAGGCTGGGAAGCTCAGGGACGATTTTTCTGTGAGCTGATAAGCCACGCCTACTCTGACTATGCCCACCAATCACCGGTATAGGCAGAACCAGGTCTTTTAGGGCCCCAGGCAACACCCCTGCTTTACAGCCAGGCCTCAGTGGGATGAAGCTGATTTGGCTTCAGCACATGAGTGGTCGGGATTCCCACTACCCAGGTACAAGTGTAAGACCCCTTTAAGGCCGTACACAGTTTTTTTACCATGTCTTTGCTCCCGGCGTATCTCTTGGCAGGCTTTGCCCCGTACGTTGGCATGGTGTTTTGTACCCATACAAGGGCAGAGCCCGGAATGCCGGCTGCATTAGGTACACTGGATGCTAGAATCTTATTTTAAGTCCGCGGAACGCCAAGTGCTGGGAAGGAATGCGTAGTGACTTTTCCTCGAGGTTCACAAGCAG